TAGTACTTGATCATTTCCAAACCTTGATTAAAAGGAGACACACATACATCTACTACGTTTTCAGGGATAACATATATAAATATGTTGCACTTTTTCAGATGTATTTTCTTTTCTTTTAATATTCATGTACAGCTTTTTTTCTCTGTTATACATTCTGAAATGAATAATGTCCTTGGATGAATGTTGGTTGTATGTGGGAACATTGCTTGAACCTTTGGAATGCTGAAAAGGCAAAAATAAAGCTTGTCGTTCAATTCAATTCAAGTGAAGGAAGACTTGCTGAAATCAAGAGGCCCTCATCAAAATCCCATGTCTCAGAAAGTTGCGGAAATCAGTCTGAATATATGCTTTCATTTCAATCAGATCAAAATATCCAGAGAGTTTATTGTCCTTGTATGTTTTGTTCTTTTTGCATCAATCAACTCTGAACTAAATTGCGGCATTATTCTATAATGGAAAATTGGGTTTGATTGTGCAGCATTCATTCCTATAATCAGCGGAGAATTTATCCCTGCTTGCAAAATGAATGTAAAGAAAAATTCAGGGACTTCAAAAAATACAGTAATTGATTTAATCAGTTAAATTTTGAAGGGTGTGTTCTGATTGGATATCCCAAGAATCCACTGAACTAAATTTGATAATGTAAAATAAAATTTTAGTTAATTGACAACAGCTGGTTTCCGCCAAACACAATTCATGGGCGATTGAGCAACAAACCAGGAAAACTATGCATATTGCAGTATTAAAAGAAGAAGAAACAAAAGGGTTATAATGAGATCCTGTATGGATATTTCATGAGGCCAATGCTTAAATTTGAATTTTTTGATCTTTCAAGTGGTACAGGTGAACCTCAATAAGTTGAACCCCCCTATGTCAAATTCCTCCGTAAATCAAATTTTTTTTCAATTCACTGTCTGAATTCCCTTAGAATCAATGCATCAAAAACCTCCCCAACTCAAAGTCTTTTCTCTAAAACCTTTGAAGAACAGTTTGGCGGTCACGGCCTGAAGGGCGTGGTCTCACCCCCGCAGGCTCCGCCGTGTCCTTGCCTCCTTCCAGCATCACATCAATAGACAATGCCGGCGGAATTGCGGTTGGTATTGGGTTGTAATGGGTTCGGAAAACTATGGAAAAAAAAGGGGGCTTTCAACAAGTTTTTTTCATTATTTTAAAAAATCTGGATGAAGGTGGGTGCCAATGATGCAGCAGCATTTGTTGTAGGGATTCCCCCAAATAAATATATGCTATTTATGAATGAAACACCACAATCAGCCTGGGACTGGCTGGGAATAACCTGGTTATAGAGGCTCCATGAAATTGATATTTATTCATGTTCCAAAGGAATCAACAACTCAGCATTTTCTTCAAAAGAAACACACTCATTCTAAGGGAATTGGTTCAAGCAGTGGAAGCTGAGAATGGGAATGAGATTCTGAATGAGAATGCACTGTTGATTTAAAGTTATATTTTAAGGCTTTTATGCATTATTGAAGAAGGATTGTGTTAAACTTGTTCTTCGTGAAGGTCAGGATTCTTTGCTTTTTCTATTTGGGTAAGACAAGTTAAATTTAAGACAAAATGCAGCACCATCATACAAGTTTTGAAGGTTCTTGGGGGGCAAGTTCTTTGGTTCTGAGTTGTTGATTATATTTTGAGACATAAATAAATATTAATATAGAGGTGTTTGATTGCGGTGTTTTATTCATAAAAACTCTGGTTGGAAAATACCCATCAGCTGAGAAACTTGAAACAAAAATTCAAAAGCTGCTGAAACATTTCAAATCTAAAAAATAAATGAATAAAAGCCTCTTGGATTTGACTTTTTTATCTCTTACAGAATTGCTTTTCTTGAATGAACATTTTTCTGGTTAATACAGCATCCTTTAAATCTTCAATTTATGGAGTTGTATTCTTACGTACTCATAATATTATATTTTCAGTTGTACATGAGAAAAATGAACATTTCCTAAATGAACATTGTTCATGAACATGAACAAAAATGAGCAGTCTGGGGACAGGACTCACAGGAGAGACATTTTTATACCACCGCACTAGGGCATGACTGGAATTGAAATCTTTGAGTGGATTTTTCCTTCCTATGATGTCTGTGATGCTGCATTTCCTGTTTTTGATAATAGACCTGGATATATTTTTAATACAGGAAGGATTGTGTTCTCTCAACCAAGAACATGTCCTGATTTGATTTCCTGTTAAAGGGTTTCTATCTGCATGCACATGGAAACCAATTTAATTCAAGCACGCTGCAGTGTGCTTGAATTGATTTAGTGATGCCTAATTTTTAAAATCTTTAATACTTTTCTCTTTTCTGCTTGTGCAAACTTTTCATACTCTCTCAAAAGTTTGAATTCCCCAGCTTGTGGAGTTTTTAGTTTGAAATTCACCAGCTTGGGGAATTTAATTTTTGAATTCTCAGGGGGCCTATTTGCCTGGTGGACCTAATGCTACAGCATCAATAGCACCCACCTTAATCCGGCCCTGTGGAGGGTACAAAAAATGTACACTACCTGCATTTTTTGCTGTGCAATCTATAGTGCACTGAAAATGGTCAAATTGATTTCCCATGAATTTCTACAAATTTTTTGAGAGTTGGATTGACCTGAAGGTTCTCAAAATTGAAGTGGGTTGTACCTGTTGGGATGACTGTCACTGGCCACACAGGAATGCTCCATGGACCAAATCTGGCCCACAAGATGTATATTGGGCGCCCTGTCCTAAAGGAAATGCAGGTTCTCAACCTGAGCATTTGCTTCACTTTCTTAGCTTCACAATTCTTATATGTTCCAAGACTGTTGTTAATGCTAAATGCTGCGTTATACACTTGCACAAAACTGAATTTCAACAAAATTTCTTAAATCATACATTTAAAAATATTTTAATACATGAATTGAAAATACTGTATACATTTTATATGCTGTTGTCTATGAACTGGAAGAGTTGATTGTATCAGATAGGTTCAAGGCTTGCATGCAACATTTTGAATATTACATTTGTATTATCCAAAAGCAGATCTGACAGCTGCAAGGACAAAACACTATAAATCAAATTAAAGTTCTACACTCAGACCTTGTGTATTGTCACCTTTCTTCAAGTCAAAAAACTTCCCTCCTTATTACGTCAAATCATTTCTTGGTCCTTGGTCAAACATGATCAGAACAATGAAGTACATGTAGTACCTGCTGGCAATCTGACCAACCTGCAATTTGACAGTCAAATATCCTGGGAGGTCTATTTGCAATTTGACCTCTGCCACACAATTTCACCTGCAGAAGGATGCAAAATTTCAAATGCAATGTAGAAGACATATTGCATTGGATGTTGTCTCACACTGTCCCACAACACAAATGCACATTGGATGGGGTGCTGATGTGCATAAAAACTTGAAACAATATTTGTCAAAGGTGCAATGTGAAATTACCACATCCTGACATGTTGCAATGTCAATCCACATTGGGACGTTGCAACATCAATCTGCATTGGGATGTTGCAACATCAATCCATGTTGGGACATTGTGATGTCGATCCACGTTGGGACAAGGCAATGTCAATTGGCATCAGGAAGTCCCGCTGAGGGTACCCACCTTAAAATTTGGAGTTTCATGACCTTAGCTTACAATTGTTTGTAGCCACTCATTCCAGGGGCAACAAATATTGCTTTAATGCAACTTAATGTGCATGCTTTAGTTTTCCTTTGCAGGAAGTAGGTAGCAAATTGGACCAGCCACTTTTTAGTGCAACATTGATGAACTGCAATCCCCGTTAAACCACCAGAATTGTGGTGCACAAACTTTGGTGGTTTAAATGATGTTTGACAGTACAAATGCTATTGAAACATTTGCCAGTTTCCTTGATTTCCAGGTTTTTTTCACTAATTGACTTATTTACTCTTATTGGTTGACAAAAAAAATTGTGAATCTCCATAGTTATGGGCAAGGCCTTCCTTGGCTCATTGGAAAACTAGTAAAGAAAAATTCACCTCAAGTAGTCACAATTCCCTTATTCTTTAGTCTTTTTAAAGACACAGCTCCAAAAGCTGGAGAAGGAAATACATTATAAAAGCTGCTGAAAAAGTTGCCAGTTTTCTCCATTTCCTGGAAATTTCATTAATGGATCTTCTTGTTCTTGTCAAACAAAAAATGTGCTATTCCCCAAAAATATGAGCATTTATTCCTTGGCCCTCTTGAACAAAGTAATGAAGAAAAATTCCCCTCAAGCAGTCATCGCCACTTTTTTTAAAGTTATTTTGTTGTTGAAAGAAACAGAAGCCACAAAATGTATCCACAAATGGACTTGTTTCATTAAGCCCCTGAATTTTCAAGAAAATTTTCAGTTCTAGAATGGAAATAGATTTTTGCAAAAAATAAATTTTTACAATTCACATTAGCCAAGAAATATATAGCAGGACATTTTTCTAATTCACAGGTTCTTAAAACTTATTTTAAAATTCATTAGTGTCTGGAATGAATGAAATTTCGAATTTTTTTTCAGTTTTCTCTATTTCCAGGAAATTTTATTGCTTGATTTGTTTGTTTGAAAAAAATGCGCTATTCCCCTGAAATATCAGCGTTTATTCCTCAGCTCCTTGAATAAAAAAAAAAGTTGTCCAGGAAAATTTACCTCAAGTTATAGTCATGATAATCACAAAGACGAATGCTTAGAATCAGCAGAAGAATGAAGACGAATAATAAAAAAGAAAGAAAATTAGACTTCCCTGGCTTCCAGGCAAACTGGGAATGGATGGGGTTCCTGGTCCTTTTTCGCGCCTTCCAGGCAAATTCGTACCCGTGCCCTTCCTCGCCCCCCCCCCCCTTTTACATTTGTTTCCTTCTTGCATCGCGTTTAAAATTTCACATCACACCTACACACAAAAAAGCACCAACACACACACACACACCCACAGGATCTAGTAAAAAGGAAAAGAAAAAAAAAATGCCGCGGGCTTTAATTTGACGGATGGGATGAAGAGGTTGGTTCTTTTCCACCCAGGTCGGGTATATAAGGACCGGGTGCCCGGGTTCCAACATCCATTCCACTACAACGTGTCTTTTGAGAAACAGTAGCATTTTTGCTTTTGCTGTGGTCTGATTCAAGTTCGGAAGCTCAGCTCCAGAGAAAAATGGTAAGTTTTTGATCCGCTCATATTCAATTACTCAATTTCATATTTCAAGACAAATAATGTTGGTTGCAAATTTAGAGTGCACTGATTCATCCAGTAGCACCTATTTGGAACAGTGAAGAACTTTGAGACCTGAAATGAATGATTTTCTTCATAAAATAATGGTTTTGCAATTGGAAAAAAAATTCCAGCAAAGGAATTGAACAGAAAAAAATTGGTGTGATGATTCAGAGAAACTGTGGCTACATTTGGGGACAAACTTCTTATTGTTAGAAAGAAGAATTATAGTGTTAACTAGGATTCTTTGCAACAAGAATTTTTGTAACAAGAATTGTTGTGACTTGAGTATTTTTGTTGCACTGTTTATTATTATACAGGTAGATGTTATTTTACAGTATTTGTTAAAACAATGTTTGTCCTACAGTAGGTAGATGTATTCTAACAATACTGTATATATTTTGACAAGATTTGCTGTAACAAAATATATTTTGACAAGATTTGCTGTAACAAAATATATTTTGACAAGATTTGCTGTAACAAAATATATTTAGACAAGATTTGCTGTAACAAAATATATTTAGACAAGATTTGCTGTAACAAAATATATTTTGAAAACATTTGTTGTAACAAAATACTGTACGTTTTGACAAGATTTGTTGCAATAAAAATGAGTATTTATTGGCAAGATTTGTTATTGTAACACTATATTTTTGACAAGATTTGTTGTATAACAAGACTAGTTCTATAATAACATTCTACCGCTTCTTGGTACGTATTAAATCCATTACTGATGAAAAGCATAAATGCTTCTTAGTTTTGAAACTGCTTGACCATAATTTTTTTTACAAAATTGACTTTAAATACTATTGAATTCAAGTAGAAAAAAATGATCTCCAGCTTATATTGTATAATCAAGGGCACCAGTAATTACCTCATCCAGGGGTCCTATAGTGAAAAATATTTTGTTTGCCTTTAAATTCTTTACAATGTTGCTTTTTCCTAAAATTGTAATTGAAAGAAAAACAATTCTGGAACATTGATATTCCATATGCGGGGAAACCAGATGTTTGTTTATCATGTTTTTTTTTTTTTTACTTTGGAGCAGAATTTTTTTTGCTAATGTGGAATTTTTTCATTTATTCTTATGCTTTGTATTCAAAACCAGACATTGTAGTAAAGTATACTGTACAAGAATTTTGAAAAATTCATGCGTAGAGTTCATCAGATCATGAAAGATGTATTTGGGAGGTTTGAAACCCTGTAAGAAACTCTCCAGTATGATGACTTTTTTCTTCGAAACACAATAGCTTTAAAGGTTTCAGCAGAAGTGCAAAAATCGAAGTGCTAAATGAATCTCAATTCCACATACTTTCCAGATTCAGTGTAGAAGACTTGATATTCTCTGACTTTATCCAAGTTTCCTCATGGTTTATCAAGGTTTATTGAATTTCAGATTCATCCTCCAAATCTATCTGGCAAAAAAACTTTTTTATATAAAAGTTTATTGCAATGAAATTTCACCTGTGGTGTTTTTTTTTTTTACATTTCGACAGGCCCTTATTGCTTTGACCCTTGCTGCTGTCTTGGTCGCTGCCAATGCATCACTTCTGCCTGCCAAGTACCCAGCTGGTGTGAACCCGGCTGCGTGCCCCAACTACCCCTACTGCGACCCCTTTGTGGACCCCACTTCTGGCCTTGCTGTTGCACCTTACAAGAGCCTTGCCTATGGTCGCTCTCTGGCTCCCCTTGCCTACAACGCCTATCCTTATGCTTATGTGAGTATTTTCTGGGGGGATAATATGTTGTTTCCAGCAATGATTTTCTGTCAATTAATTGAGGCTCAGTGTTGAAAAAAAAGCCATATGCAAATGAGGGCCAATCTGGTCATAAGCCATTCATTCAATAGGAAAATATATGCTTTTTGAAAATGTTGGCATTCAGCAGTAATTAATTCCAAATTCATTATGATTTCAGTAATGATTATCTGTCTATAGGAAATAAATGATGCAATACTTTTTGAATGAAGCAACTTTATATAGTGTGTTCTTTAGTACAGTGTTCCCAGCCTTTGGTCTGCATAAGTTTTTTGCCTGTCTGCAGGAAATTTTCAGAATATATATAGAACATTTATCAAAAGTTGGGTTAAGTTTGTTCTCTTTACCCAACATTTTGGAAGGACAGTGGCAGTTGAATTCTCTGATGAAAAAAAAGTTGGCTTTTCTCCTGAAAACACTTATTCAGACAAATTTTCACTGGCTGAAATTTTATTATTTTAATTTTTCCTTCAGAGGAATCTTCCTCCAAGCCCACCTTTCTGATTGTTTGATGAGATTCTTCACTCAATTTCTTGGGTAAATACCTACCTAATGACATTCTAGAACAACTTTGGTGAGTCTGCAAAAATTGTATAAAACTTTGCACTACAGAAATGTTTTGGAATTTGCCAGTCTGCAAATTTTTTCTTGTGGAGAATGTCTGTGGGCCCAAAAAGGTTGGGGAACAGTGCTTTAGTATATACAGTATATAGAAGCCATGCTACTGAAGGTTAATTTTTGGTCAAGCTCTTCATTCATTAGGAAAAGAAATGCTCTTTTGAATTTTGGCATAGATTAATTCCATATCAATATTGCTCTCGATGATGATTTTCTGTCATTTAAATGACGCATACTGTACTCACAGAATGAAGCAAAGTTATAGTGTGTTTCTTCAGTAAACATACAGAAGCCAGGCTACTCAAAGTTGAATATTGGTCCAGGTATTCATTGAATGAGGAAAAAACTGTGCATTGTAACAAAATTGTTCAAAGCTTCACATAGAGGTTTAATGGGTTCTTCAGTGAACAGTAGAAACCATGTAATTGAAGGTGAAATTTGGCCAAGAAATTCATTCATTATGAATAATAAAAATCATGAATTGTAGGACTTTTCCAAATACTTTGGTATAATAATTTAGAAGTCTTGTTGTAAGAAAATTTCTCCTTTCATTGAAACAAGTTGATTTTCTTTGTAATTTTTCCTACTGTTCCCCTTTCAATTTTCAGAGATGTTTGCATTTTTTCTGATTATTTTTGTGTGTGCATGTAATCAAGAGAGAAATTCTGGAAAAAAAAATTCATTTCTGAGAGTCAAGTCTGTCAGGGGTCCCTGAGACGTCAGTACCTGACAAAGAACTGGTTTTAGTGAAAGATTCATTTCTGCCTAAACCTCAACTGTGAACATATCTTTTGAAAACAGAAGAAAGCAAGCAGTTTGTGAGGCTCAAACCTCTCAAAATAAAAGCAGCTTTATTTGGAAAAGAAGATCTGGTAGATCTTTTTTATCAGAGGAAATTTATTATAGGTAGGGTGACCCATATTTGTTTGTTTGCTGCTATTTGGTTAAAAAAATATATTGCTTGATGCATTCATCCAATATTGCCCAAGCCAATTTACTATTTTGGCAAATTATTTTTTGATTTCATGAAGGGAATCAAAATTATTGTGGGTTATCTTATTGTTATGTGATAGATTTTTACAAGATAAATTTTCGATAGGGCGTACCTGGAATTATTGGGATTGAAATTGCATTTTTTTTTAATTCAGCATCTCTTAACAGCTCCCTCCATTCATGCCATCATCACCTTCAATCCATGTGTCTCTAGGTAGTTCTATTGACTATTTTTTCATAACTGGTTTGCATTTTTTTGCATTTTAATTGACCATTTCTTCTGAATGGATTGCCACTTGTGAGGTTAAGAGCTCATAACTGTACAAATAGAATACAGATGCATTTTTTCCTTGAAGAAAACTGTAACAGACATTATTGTATTAGACAGTATTCTGAGAAAAGTATTACAGTAATGTATAGATCCTTTTGAAGGAGCCCAAAATTATTTTGATATGTCTAATCTTTCATATGACTTGAACCGTTCACCTGTACATATGCAACACATACGGTTCAAAATGGGAAAACAAAATAAAATAAATTGAAAAAACTGTGAATAAATTAATACAGGGTTCAAAAAAAAAAGAAAGGACACACCACGACATCTATGCAGGAATATTTAAATATGACGGGGATTTTTTATTCTATTTTTTTCCGCAGGCTGCTGCACCCCTGTTGGCTGATGGTGGCGCCAAGTACCCAGCCAGCGTGAACCCTGCTGAGTGCCTGAACTACCCCTACTGCCACGACGGATACAACGGAAACCACGCCGTCGGAACTTTCAAGTCCGGCTACGCAGGTGTCGCTCCCGTCGTGCACGCCGCTGCCGTTTACGGCCACGGATACGCCGCCAAATACCCGGCCGGACTCAACCCTGCTGCGTGCCCCAACTATCCCTTCTGTCACTAAATGTTGAAAAAGAAAAAAAAGGCTGCCAGCTTTGCTCTTTTACGCGTGAAAAACATAAGAGAAACATACTGCCGAAGTTGAACAATCAGTGTTTCAAACGTTAGTGTTTTGCGAGCACTTTTTTGATAGTATTTTGTGACACGCCTTTTTTTTCTCGTTAAATTCGCGTCGGAGGGTGACGATGATGATGGCTATATACGGCGCGAGATTTTTCTGCTTCTTTTTTTGTGTGTGATGCATTGGTTTTATTCGATGGAGGGTAGGTGGCATTAAAACTCGGTTTATCCTTATGCTTATGTGAGTATTTTCTGGGGGGATAATATGTTGTTTCCAGCAATGATTTTCTGTCAATTAATTGAGGCTCAGTGTTGAAAAAAAAGCCATATGCAAATGAGGGCCAATCTGGTCAAGCCATTCATTCTATATAGGAAAATATATGCTTTTTGTAAATGTTGGCATGCAGTAATTAATTCCAAATTCATTATGATTTCAGTAATGATTATCTGTCTAGGAAATAAATGATGCATACTTTTTGAATGAAGCAACTTTATAGTGTGTTCTTTAGTATACAGTGTTCCCAGCCTTTGGTTTTTTTGCCAGAAGTTTTTTGCCTGTCTGCAGGAAATTTTCAGCATATATAGAAAATTTATCAAAAGTTGGGTTAAGTTTGTTCTCTTTGCCCAAAATTGTTGGAAGGACAATTGCAGTTGAATTCTCTGATGAAAACAAAAGTTGGCTTTTCTCCTGAAAACACTTCAGACAAATTTTCACCGGCTGACATTTTATTATTTTAATATTTCCTTCAGAGGAATCTTCCTCCAAACCCACCTTTCTAATTGTTTGATGATATTCTTCACTCAATTTTTTGTGTAAATACCTACCTAATGACATTCAAACACAACTTTGGTGAGTCTGCAAAAATTGTATAAAACTTTGCACTACAGAAATGTTTTTGAGAATTTGCCAGTCTGCAAGTTTTTTTTTCTTGTGGAGAATTTGCATGTCTGTGGGCCCAAAAAGGTTGGGGAACACTGCTTTAGTATATAAAGTATATAGAGGCCATGCTACTGAAGGTTAATTTTTGATCAAGCTCTATGTTCATTAGGAAAAAATTTATGCTTTTTTGAATTTGGCATACAATATACTGTAATTCCAAATCAATAATAATTTCAATGATGATTTTCTGTCAAATAAATGACGCATACTGTACTTATAGAATGAAGCAAGTTTATAGTGTGTTCTTCAGTAAACATACAGAAGCCAGGCTACTCAAAGTTGAATATTGGTCCAGATATTCATTGAATGGGGAAAAAACTGTGCATTATAGGTAAGATTTGTAACAAAATTGTTCAAAGCTAGACATAGATGTTTAATGGGTTCATCTTCAGTGAACAGTAGAAACCATGTGATTGAAGGTGAAATATGGCCAAGAAATGCATTCGTTATGAATTTTAAAAATCGAGAATTGTAGGACTTTTCCAAATATTTAGGTAGAATAATTTAAAAGTCTTGCTCTAAGAAAATTTTATCCTTTCATTGCAACAAGTTGGTTTTCTTCGTAATTTTCTTACTGTTCCCTGTTCAATTTTCAGAGATGTTTAACATTTTTATGATTCTTTTTTTGTGTGGATGTAATCAAGAGAGAAATTCTGGAAAAATATTGTATTCCTGAAAGTCAACTCTGCTGTCAGGGGTCCCTGAGACCTCAGTACCTGAAAAAGAACTGGTTTTAGTGAAAGATTCATTTCTGTCTAAACCTCAACTGTGAACATATCTTTTGAAAACAGAAGAAAGCAAGCAATTTGTGAGGCTCAAACCTCTCAAAAGAAAAGCAGCATTACAGTATTTGGAAAAGAAGATCTGGTAGATCTTTTTTATCAGATACAATTTCTTATAGGTAGGGTGACCCATATTTTTTTTTGTACTGCTATTTGGTTTAAAAAAATATTTTGCTTGATACATTCATCCAATATTGCCCAAGCCAATTTACTATTTTGGCAAATTATTTTTTGATTTCATGAAGGGAATCAAAATTATTGTGGGTTATCTTATTGTTATGTGATAGATTTTCACCAGATAAATTTTCGATAGGGCGTACCTGGAATTATTGGGATTGAAATTGCATTTTTTTTAAATTCTGCATCTCTTAACAGCTCCCTCCATTCATGCCATCATCACCTTCAATCCATGTGTCTCTAGGTAGTTCTATTGAATATTTTTTCATAACTGGTTTGCATTTTTTTGCATTTTAATTGACCATTTCTTCTGAATGGATTGCCACTTGTGATGTTAAGAGCTCATAACTGTACAAATAGAATACAGATGCATTTTTTCCTTGAAGAAAACTGTAATAGACATTATTGTATTAGACAGTATTCTGAGAAAAGTATTACAGTAATGTATAGAGCCTTTTGAAGGAGCCCAAAATTATTTTGATATGCCTAATTTTTATATGACTTGAACCGTTCACCTGTACATATGCAACACATACGGTTCAAAATGGGAAAACAAAATAAAATAAATTGAAAAAACTGTGAATAAATTAATACAGGGTTTAAAAAAAAAGAAAGGACACACCACGACATCTATGCAGGAATATTTAAATATGACGGGGATTTTTTATTCTATTTTTTTCCACAGGCTGCTGCACCCCTGTTGGCTGATGGTGGCGCCAAGTACCCAGCCAGCGTGAACCCTGCTGAGTGCCTGAACTACCCCTACTGCCACGACGGATACAACGGGAACCACGCCGTCGGAACTTTCAAGTCCGGCTACGCAGGTGTCGCTCCCGTCGTGCACGCCGCTGCCGTTTACGGCCACGGATACGCCGCCAAATACCCGGCCGGACTCAACCCTGCTGCATGCCCCAACTATCCCTTCTGTCACTAAATGTTGAAAAAGAAAAAAAGCTGCCAGCTTTGCTCTTTTACGCGTGAAAAACATGAGAGAAACATACTGCCGAAGTTGAACAATCAGTGTTTCAAACGTTAGTGTTTTGCGAGCACTTTTTTGATAGTATTTTGTGACACGCCTTTTTTTTCGTTAAATTCGCGTCGGAGGGTGACGATGATGATGGCTATATACGGCGCGAGATTTTTCTGCTTCTTTTTTTGTGTGTGATGCATTGGTTTTATTCGATGGAGGGTAGGTGGCATTAAAACTCGGTTTCTTAGTCTTCGTCATAATAACTTGGTCGCATTTTCTTTTCTTTTTGTCTGTGCTCTCAGAAGAGCCAAAACTCAGCTTGAAAATAATGGATGAGTTCCCTTCAAAGAATTTCTGACTCAACAGCAGCTGCTGCGCTCTGTGAATTCAGAAAAACCCACAAAATATTTGAAATAGGCAAGTTTCACAGTAGCAAAGCCACTGTTTTTACTGAAGATAAAAAGAAAGATAAACAAGAAAACTGAAATTTGTAATCTTTTGGACCCTAATTAAATTGCTGAATAAATGAGTTGTGGAATATTGCACCTGGTTACAAGGGTTAATTTGCCCAATAAGTCACTCACTCTGTTTTGGAAAGCATTGTCTTTTTTTATTGCTTCTCTCTTCCCTAATAATCCTGAATAATGCCTCAAATGCATCAAAATTTTGAGTTAAAGAGGTTTCAAGGGGAACTCTTTGAGTTACAGAGGTTTATTTATTATGCATGATTTTTAAGGGAATTCAGTCATGGTCTAAAAATTTGACAGAGGGAAGTTTTCCACTTTAGGATGTTTGAGTCATCACAAGGTCCTGGTTATGTTATTTACTGGAGTACCATGAAACCTTGACTAAGACTTACTCTTTTATGTAAATTTTCAGCTCAAATTTCGAAAAAATGGTCACAAGAGATGTGCACCTTACTTTTCAGTCACAATAATATTTTTTAGAAATTGCACTTGTCAGAAATCTAAATACAAACCACTTGAAATTTGAATTCAAAGTTGATGCTGTTGTTTAATGCATTGATCATAGAATTATTAAAGAAAAAACCGTAAAAATTCAAGTCAGCAAAAAGTTTCAAAATGGTCACTTGAAAATTGGCACCTGACTTTGGTGTACTCCTCATTTATTTGCTCTAGTTTATTGAAAGAAAATGTGCATGTGGTGTTAACATAGAAACATTTACACTTTCTGCAAAGATTTTTCCCCTGACACAAATTACATTCTTCCTCTTCAAGGAGGAAGAAGCCATTTTCTCCCATGCAGCTGTTTTGTTGTTATTATTCCTTTATGTTCACATCACCCAAATTAGTGCCTCTGGACACTTTTCTTCAAGTCATGCATATAAACTTTTCTCTTCACTCCTAACAGGGATTTATCATGCATGTAATTACTTCTTTTCAAATGTGAAATCCAAGAGGAGACATAGCTTATTGAATGAATACAGTGTACTGTATATAAAAATTATTCTGATGCATATGTATTGACCATGTTTTCATGAGACTTTGACTAATGAAGAATACTGTATAAAGAATACTGTATAAGGAATCTTTGTTGCCGTTGATTCCTCCAAGCCTATATATATATATATATATATATATATATATATATATATATATATATATA